TAAAAATAACTAACAATAATTAATGGCTCACAAGATAAAATATGTGAATTGTGACTTCAAAAACATAAAACGTGGTGGGGAGAGGATATAAAAAAAGAGCTTTAGAATGTGTTCAAGCTTAAGTTGTTACCAACTTAAAATACAGTGTTATAAGATGTTTTATGTAAGCCGTTGGTAACCACAAACCAAAAACATATACTAGATACACAAAAGATAAAAGGAAAGGAATCAAAGCATACCACTACAGAAAAAACATCAAATTGCACAGGAAGAGAGCAAGAGAAGAAAAAAGGAACAAAGGAATTTCAAAACAGCCAGAAAACAATTAACTAGATGGTAGTAAGTGCATACATAGCAATAGTTACTTTAAATGTAAATGGACTAAATTCTCCACTCCAAAGACACAAAGTGGCTAAATGGAATTTTAAAAAACAAGACATAATTATATGCTGTATACAAGAGACACACTTCAGCTTTAAAGACACACACAGACTGAAGGTGAAGGAAAGAAAAAAGATATTCCATGCAAGTAAAAAACCAAAAGAAAGTCTGGTTAGCTATTCTTAGACAAAATAGACTTTAACACAAAAACTGTAATAAGAGACAAAGAAGGTCATTATGTAATGATAAAGGAATCATTTAACAAGAAGATATATAACATTTGTAAATATTTATGCACCAACATAGAAGCACCTAAATATATTAAGCTAATATTAAAGCCAATATTCTTGATTAACATAGATGTGAAAATCCTTAACAAAATATTAGCAAACTGAATTCAACAATACATTAAAAGGTATATGCATACCATGACCAAATGGGATTTATTCCGTGGATGCAAGGATGGTTTAACACCTCAAATTAATCAATATACTATACCACATTAACAAAATGAAGGATAAAAATAACATGATAATCTCAATAAATATACAAAAAGCATTTACCAAATTTAACATACATTTTGATAAAACTCTCAACAATGATGGTAATAGGTACATACCTCAACATAATCACAGCCGTGCATGACATGTTCACAGCTAATAACATCATATTCAATGGTAAAAATCTAAACGATTTTCCTCTAAAATTAGGAACAAGAATGCCATCTGTCACCACTGTTTTTCAATGTAGTACTGGAAATCCTAGACAGAGCAATTTATTTGCAGATAACAAGATTTTATATATGTAAAGCCCTAAAGACTCTATCCCAAAGCTGTTAGAATTTATAAGCGAAGTCAGTAAAATTACAAGATACAAAGTTAAAATACAAAAGTCAGTTGCATTTCTATACACTAATATTGAACTATCAGAAAAAGAAATTAAGAAAATAACCCCATTTACAATTGCATCAGAAAGAATAAAGTACCTAGGAATAAACTTATCCATAGAGGTGAAAGCCCTATACACTGAAAACTATAAAACATTAATAAAAGAAATTTGAGAAAACACAAATAAGTGAAATAATAGTGTTCATAGTTTAGAAGAATTAATATTGTTAAAGTGTCCATACTACCCAAAGCAATCTACAGATTCAATGCAATCCCTATCAAAATTCCAGTGGCAGTTTTCACAGATATAGAACAAATAATCCTATAATATGTATGAAACCACAAAAATCCTGAACAGGTAAAATAAACTTGAGAAAGAACAAAGGTGGAAGCATCATACTTCTTGATTTCAAACTATATTACAGTAGTCAAAACAGCATAGTACTGGCATAAAAAGTAAAAAATAAAAAAAATTTTTTAAAGACACATAGATCAATGGAACTGAATAGAGAGCCCAGAAGAAACATGCACACACACACACACACATGCACACACACACACATGCACACACACACACACATACATATATACGGGTGTGTGTGTGTGTGCGTGTGTGTATGGTGAATTAATGTATGACAAAGGAACAAAGAATGTACACTGGGGAAAGGATTGTTTCTTCATCATATGATGCTGGGAAAGTTGAACACCACATGCAAAGAAATGACACTGGACCACTACCTTGCACTATGCACAAAAAATCTATTCAAATAAATAATGAGACTAAATCAAACTTCAAAGATTCTGCACAGCAAAAGAAACCAAAAAAGGGCCGGCCGAGTGGCGCGATGGTTAAGAGCTGGCTTGGGA